CCCTCCTTTCCAAGGGCTACTCAAAAGCCACCTCTCTCAGAAAGCCTGTCGGCGCTCTTACTGCAGACGTGATCACTTCCTTCCCTGAGCTCTGTGTTTCTCCCGTATGACAACCTAACTTGTGTTATTATTCTGTCTAATGCTTGCAGCTAGAAGATAAATTTCTCAGGAAATGATCATTGATCTCTTACTCTCTTTAGATTCTCCTGTCATGGACAACATAAGAACAGGCAGCCAGTACAAATATGCTGGGTAATTGCCACAGGCAGGAGACACCTGTCAGGGCACTTACCTGGAAAGTCTAATGCTACTGAATGAGTAGATTTCTGTGCACAGCTTCTAACCACTATTACACACAGAGCAGAGCTGTTCTGTAAACTTAAACAACAAAGGAAAAAGACAAAGACAGTTAAAATGTATTTAAAACGTGTGTGGTCACGAAGAATTCTGATTCTAGTGTCAGACAGGATTTACCACCAACTAGCTTGATGCTTTGGACAAATACATTTTCTATGCCTGTATTTTCTGATCTGTAAAATGGGAACAATAATAGTTCCTTCCTCTGGATTGGGTGTGAGTATACACGATGGGAGAGGGAAGGTTATAAGATGAAAAGCAGGATAGCTATGATTAGGCAAGGGCTAAATTGTTGCTGTTTTAATTCACCTGGCAGAAGTAATAGTTATAAAAGTCTCAGCACCATGCTAGGTGGTAACTTCCAAAGAGGACTTGGGGGCCTGTATTATCCCCAGTAGATGTAAGAGAGCACCAAACCTCAGAAAAAGTTGGTTTGCCTAAGTAATGAGGCTTGAAAGTAGTAAAAAACAAATTTGGAACTCATATATGTATAATTCCAAAACATTTTAATTTTACTTTTTTCTACATCATATTATTTATGTGTTGTAATGAATTTGTTTTGCACTATGTCTTAACTACTTCCTTAATAATCATCTTACTGATTATAAAATTAACATCTGCTTCCTGTAGAATTTTTGGGAAGTAGAGAATAGTACAAAGAAGAGAATAAAATTATGCATAATTCTTCCACCAAGAAGAAAAACAAACACTGAAAATACTTACTTTAGCTAACACATCAACACTCTGGATATACATTTTTTCCAGTGGTGATTATTTCCTTAAGGCAGATTTCAGCAGGACAATTACTGGGAAGGGCATTTTTGTAACACGTTTGATATGTCCCAGTAAGTTGTTCTCAAAAATATATTAAAGTACAATCCCAATTTTGTGGTTGCCTATCTTAGAGTATCCTTAGAACATACTAATTTCTTTCTTAAACTTTGCTACTTTAATAAGTAAAAGATTATTTAACTTTGTTGTTTTGATTGCTAGTATAGATGAACGTTGTCTTATTTCTTATTAATCTGTATTTCTTCCTCTTGTCATTCTTTAGCCATTTTTTTTCCAGTACTTTTTATCTTTTGCTTTTTATTCATTACTATGCACTTTTTGTATTTTAGGCATATCAGCCATCAGTAACAGAATGATTTCATTCATTCATTCTGAGATAGGGTTTCACTCTGTTGGCTGGTGTGTATGGAGCAATCACAGGTCACTGCAGTCTCAAATTCCTGGGCTCAAGTAATCCTCCTGTCTCAGTCTCCCAAGTAGCTAGGACTACAGATGTGTGCCACCATGCCTGGCTAAGTTTTAATTTTTTTTATAGAGATAGAGTCTTGCTATGTTCCTTAGGCTGGTCTCAAACTCCTAGCCTCAAGCCACCTTCTTGGCTTGGCCTCCCAGTGTTGGGATTACAGGTGTGAGCCAGGAAGGCTGGATCTTTTTAAAAATAAGTTAGACATGACCCATGTGTTCCAAAACCATTAATAGTTTTGTCTTTAATTAGGAAAATCCAACTTCAATTCTCATTAACATTTACTTTTTCTACTCTTTCCTGGCTCTTCACCTCCTCTGGAACTTCATGCCCACTGTCCACACTGCCTGCTCACCATTCACACCACTTACCCACCGTTCACACCGCCTGCCCACTGTTCACACCGCCTGCCCATCATTCACACCGCCTGCCCACCATTCACACCGCCTGCCCACTGTTCACAATGCCTGCCCACCGTTCACACCGCCTGCCCACCGTTCACACCGCCTGCCCACCGTTCACACCGCCTGCCCACCGTTCACACCGCCTGCCCACCGTTCACACCACCTGCCCACCGTTCACACCGCCTGCCCACCGTTCACACCACCTGCCCACC